GGAACATAGGGATGACCCCGTTAGTTCCTGCTATAATAGGTACAATTTTATTGAATGGGAGTGACCACTGATTCAACATGCAGGGTGTGAGTTAAGAAACTGTATGGAGCACTCACAATGTAAGAGTAATGAATATTCAACAACAAATTACTTATAATACTACTTGCGGTTATGGGCTATATGGTTAGGTGAAAACACCATTTTTCAGAAGCCTAGGGTTAGAGCTATTAAATCATTCAATGCAAGGTCTAATGTCTGTCCTGAATACAATACAGTAGGAAGCTTATACAGGAACTGAAGTGAGAAAAAGATGTATTTATTATAACATGTCAATTGGCACTTCCTGGCCTCTCTCGGTGTTTTGGCAGCCATGTTTGCTTCATATAATAGTAAGACCATTTCCTCTCAGGTTTCCCTTTGTGCCGCTTCTTCCAAGTGATTGACAGTCGAGAAGCCACGCCCCCCGAGGCGCCTGACGCTGAACCGCAGCCCCTTCTCATTTCCAGCCCCGCAGATCTCCATTTTCTTCTTTCACGATATTCAGGAGCACAGGACTAAACGTTTGGAAAAATGAATGAAGAATACGACGTTATCGTTCTGGGCACCGGACTGACGGTGAGAAAGAATCAAACGACGCGCTGTACAGCGTGGAAATGATTTGCAACCTGTTAGCACTTGACAGTCTGTCTTTGAGCTAACTGGGCCTAATCAGCAGGGCTAGCGCTAAGTAGCTAGCTTAGCCGCTAACCGAGATTGAGCGACTACCTGTTAGTTAATGGAAACTGTGAGCAAAGTAGCTAGCTGTTAACGCTATGCTATCTGCCACTGCTACCAAAGCCTGGAAAGATTAACGATACCCAACTGTTACACAAGATAAACTCAGTCTGTCGCCGTGGTTAGTAAGTACCTGTCGACTCTGGATGTAGCTATCCCAGTTACTTAACCGGCTATTTGGAAGTTGGGCGCCAGTTCGGGCAGCTTTTCTCAGTAAAGATAAGATTATACGCGGATAATAAGTCTGCTAACGTTAGCGGACCTAAGTTAAGCTAAGTAATTAGCTTGCTAACAACAGAATAACGACGTGTCAGCTTCGCCGAATAATCTTTCGTTAACTCAGCTGTTGAGTTTCTTAGTTTTACTACAGTTTTAGCTACGGTAACGTTAGCTACTTAACATATCTGATGAAAGTGGTAGCTAACTTCGCTAACTGAAGCTATCTAAAGTTTCCGCTCTGCGCTGTCCGTGCGGTGGACTCACAGACTGAAGTCCTCTACAGTCTTTATAAATCCAACTGTCCCAAAGTTAACGAAACCCAACCAGAAGACACTTGGTGAAAAGGGGCCAACTGCTTATCCGAAATAACTGGATGACTTTGAACGGTGCAACTTCAGTCAGAAACTTTTGCAGTAGGTTGTAACTTGAAGTTGAACTTCTGGCGTCCCTTTAACTTGCCTACTAAAAAGCCATAAAGCTGAAGCAGCATAATGTGAGGTGGCAGTTTATGAGCTATTCTCGTATGTGTAGGGTTTGTTTACCCGGAAATTAACTTTGTCAGCATTGACCATGGCCTGATGGACAGAATCCTGACTTGCTGTCAGTTTTATTTGGCTGAAGCGGGACAAGGAAATACCGTGCTGACTCCAGGACTAATGCAGGCTGATGGGCAGCTTCCTGTCAACCCCTAAGCCCACATTCATTACAGTTTCTGGACTGCCCTCAACCTGGATACCTTTATTACACAGTAAAGCTGCCCATATCTGCCTCAACACAGCCTTGTTAAGTTTCTGTAAGTTGTTATTTCCTTCTGACCGCAACCACTGAGGTAGAAAGTGTTTTGCTGCAGGCTCAGAGCAGGCGCAGGCTAATGCAGCCAAGCAGACACGGGGTTGGTTACATTTTAGTGGGCAGAGTGTTAAACTAGCTCACATTTGGGTGTGGTTCCACCACGACTGAGGAACCGAAAGTAAACTGTAAGTACTGTGTAAGCTCAGTTAACTCGGAGCTGGACACACTGCCAGGCAGCCTAAAAAGCCCTGCAGGCCGCAGCACAATGTAGTTTCACATGATTTTAGTTCCGTTATGCAAATCAGTGAGTTCACTTTTGTATATCTGAGAGTGTCCCCTTTTATGCTACACACTAACACTGCCATGTCTACTGTTGTAGCAGATTTCACTGGATTCTAATAAGTCTTTAATCCATATATATTTGAAATGATACATCCTGCTACTGTACATCTAGAATGGACATGATTAGTTGATTCTTTGTTGTAGTCTTCTTGGCATTTTTTATGGTTTAAGTGGTTGGGGGATGGGCCTCCCCATCTGTCCACTACTAATGACACATGAGGGGAGTGGCTTGGCACAAGATATCAAACTGTACCTAAATGCAGTCTGGTTCACATTACGATACACTTGGTGATCCCGAGTAAGCAGCTTGCCTGAAGATGAGAGTGACGGATAGGGCGGCAGTTCAGTGGTTGAGGAGGTCGTGTGTTCAGGAATATACAGAGACTGCAGTTTTACACCAGTCACCACATCAGCAGTGTATGGTGCAAAATCACCAGTAGCTGAGGGATAACTGTTAGTGATGGACACATCTTGCACTTACCCAAGGAAGAGCTATTGTTAGTACAATGGAATAATATTCCTCCAAAAGGACAGGTTCTCTATTCAAAACAAAGGAAAGATTATTTAACAATCAAGTGTTTTGTTTGTGTGATATTTATTATTATTTATTTTTTGTAACTCTGCTGCTGCTCCTCTCTGGGTGTCTGCAGGGCTGGTCGCCCGACGCTGCCCCCACACACACTGAGCACTTCTTTGCCTCGGTCGTCCATTGTTCCCTTCTGGTTTAAAACATAAAAACACACAAACTTCTTTTATCTTATGTGATAGTCAATTGCATATATTTGGGATTTGGACAGTTTTTTCAAACAATCAACAAAATAATTGGCAGATTAGTCCATAATAATATTTTTAAAATATATATAATATACATAAGTGAAATTGCTAGTTCATTTCACAGTGGTAGATTACTTTTCAAATGTTCAGTAACAAGTGTACAGTTGCTGCTATCCTTGTGCCCATCAAAAGAGGAAGTGGTGTTAAAGGAGGGGAAATACAAATACAATGCTGGCCATCACTCAAGATATGTGTAAGGAAAGTCAGCGCGTCTAGGAGTTTCAGGCATTGCCAATCAAGTGATGATCAAACAGTCTTTACTATAGTCATATAAATCAAGATTCATGTGAAGCCAGCACATTCCTGTCTAACTGCATAAGCTCATCACATGTCTTTAATGTAGAACTTGCTGTGTCACTAAGAGAGGAATGCAGTGAAGGAAAATGTGCCGTACAGTAGTTTCTACTGTAAAGTACAGTATAAAGATGCAGTCATTGATTGTACTAATTGTTTTCTTTAGAAAACATAAGGAAATGATGGAACATGTCCATCACAGTGTCTTCAAATGTCTCTTTATTCATCCAACAGCCAAAAGATACTCTTTTACTACTGCTTACAATCATGTAAAACAGAGTAAAGCAGCAAATCCTCACATCAGAGAATCTGGAAACAGAATGTGCTACACTTTTTCTTGATACATGACCACTGAGCCATTCATTGATTTATTATTTTCATCTTATAATTGTTTCTCTGAGAAAACCAGAGTGGTGATTTCATGTAATTTCTCAGCTCTGTTGATCCTTTGATCCCAGTGGATTAAAGCCCAACAGATTCTTGTGACTTGAAAGCGTGTTGTAAATTTTCAGTCTAGTAAAATCAAAGCTCGCCATGCTTTGATTGCGATGCTTGTCATGTGATTGGATCTTTCTGAGCCGCAGAGACCGATCCAGCTCTTCTCTGTTGGACTTTGCTGCCTCTCACCCTCGCTCTGATTTTTACAGGTCTCACCTGTTAAAAATTGAACTGGGACTTTGCCTCGGGTCCAGATTTTTTTCTACTGGCTTAATTTTCTGCCTGACTGTACGCTGGATCAGTGTGTTTTCCTCTCTGTCAGCATGGCCACTACTATCTGGCAGAGGTAGTGATGACTAGGCTGCCTCCGGCTCTGTGTCAAAGCCTGTATTTATGTAAGCGGCAGCAGGTCGGCTTCAGTTACATGTTACCTGAAAGGAGTGACAGTGGCACATCAGAACCGACTGTATGTCCTTCAACTCAATGGCAATGCGAGATCATACAGTAGATGAGTCCCAGACTTTTACAAATAGACATGATCAGATTTCACTGCGGCATGTGTTATTTTGGGAGAGCACCTATGCAGACGCTGGTTTAAATGCTGGAGGATGTAGACAAGTACATATGTCACTGAGGTTGTGAAGAGGGAGACTAAAGGTTTAGGTACATTTGGGTTGACCACATGTTCAGTAAACAAGTGCAGACAATCACTAAAGTGAAGGTTTATAGCTAAAAGCATAGCATTTATTTAAAATTGGATTCATTTTCATTTGTCCTTCTGTCCTGGAGACTGATGAAAAGTTACAGAGCAAGGCAGCTATAGACTATTCCATAACAGTCTTAGGCTCGACATATAAACGCTTTTAACTACGCGTTTGCATCTTTGTTTGTGTTATTTGTTTTGAAATGAACACAACGCACCCGTGACGCATACACATGATTAAAAAGCATGTACAGGTTCTTTGCATGTTCCACTGTATGAGATGGGTCCAATAAAGTCTTGGATACAATCTATTAGGGACTGTAACTGGGTGGAGGCCATGAGTAACACATTAATAGTAATTATTTGTCATTTAATTGAATAGTCAATTGATGTTAAATTAATTTACAACTATTTCCTACTCGATTGTTGAAGAAATACATTTTAATTTTAAAACAGCAAGTCACACAAAAACTAACCGATTGAGCCAGTGCCTAACCAACAACTCCCATGTTCTGCAAGGTAAAATGTTTTTGTGTGCTGCCATTGAAAAGAGAGATAGAACTGCTTCCGTTTCCTTTCAGAAAGGGCTGTCTGACAACAACTTAAAGCTGTGAAAGTATTTTAAATATAGCACTTCAACTGGTTTGATTTATCTAAACTTTAGAAGGAACAGACACTTGGTGTGTTACTTAGTTGTCCTGATTGTGGTGCCGCTACATTTCTACATGGGCCCAACCCCAGCTTTGTTGGTTTTTGTCATGTGAGAAAACAGCTGTACCATGTACAGCTGGAGTGTAAGCTGTCATTCAGTAGTAAGGCTTGTTTCAGAGTAAAGTCCACACAGTCACATGACGCACACAGTATTTCACTGCATCTATTAACCCACTGCTGGAATTGTATTGAGGCTTTTGGTCTGTGGGAATCCACACCCTGGCAAACATGCACATTTCCACCCAGAGTGGAAAACCGAGGATGCAGTCATACTAATGTCTTACTTTAAAGCCATTTAAAGGTAACCAGTCATTTTTCAAACTGTTGTTTGTCTCTGGCAACATTATGTGAAGGACAGAGAAATGAAACGTTTTCAGTACTCATGGCTAGATCCGGTCTGTGAAACCTTCTCCGTGGGTATAGGGCCACAACAACCACTACAATTCTCCTGAGCTTCACAGCCTTTACAGCCACTGGTTTACCAATATCTGTGGTAGGCAACATGGAAAGCATAATCAGATAACTTTAGGTGGATTAATGTGTTTCCATGTCCTGCTGTGTGTTCCATGTGCACATAGTTTTGTCCAGTGTGTAACCTCAAACAGGATGTTTGTCTTCATGCTTTACCACCATGGTTTACCTGGAACTTCTGCAAAACCTGGTAGTGGAAGAAGTTCTTGTAATTAAGGCATCTCCATGGAAATTGCTGGTTTGCTTGTTTGGTTAGTTTTCTGGTTTCCAAATAACCAGGTCTTGATTAGATTCTGCTTACCACAACACCTTAGATGAGTCAAGGTAAAGAAAAAAACAATCAAAAATATCCCAGTATATAACGATATAGTCAATGAAAACAAAATCTCTGATCATGTAATAATCCATATGTGTTGATTTCTGATATACAGAAATGACAGTCTGCAGTAGAGCTTTTGCACTGAGTTCCAACTGGTCCAGCATGCAGCCAAAACTGTTTATCCCAACAGATCAGAGCATGAAAGGCCACAGCCATGCCGGACAGGCACCACATTTGTCCATTTATATGAAAATGGTGGCAACACAGCCTGCGTCCTCTCTGATGGTATAACAGATGGGTTTACTGTGCTGAAGCACAGGAGCAAAACATACACTGTCGATTATGTGTACGTTGGGGAATGATGAAATGTCTGTGGATTTTTTAGCTTCATGTTAATCTTGGTCTAAATTGGGTAAATGTTTTCTCCCCACAGGAATGCATTTTATCAGGCATCATGTCCGTGAAGGGGAAGAAGGTTCTGCACATGGACCGCAATGCCTACTACGGAGCTGAGAGTGCCTCCATCACGCCTCTTGAAGATGTAAGTTGACCTGTGACCCGGCTAGCTCGACTTTGTTTGAAATGTAGACATGAGAAATCAAGAATTGCACCTGGAACTGTGATAAACAAACATCTAAATATTTACTTTATCTTAAGGCTGTTGTATGAGGACAGATAAAGCTGTAATAAGGAAATGGTTTAACCATTCCAGTGCTCTACACTGTCTGCTATCCAAAGGACCAACATGCCAGTTTTATTTTCCCAGGTCTCTTGTACTTCAAAAGAAATCAATTTAAAATATGTGCAGAATAGTAGATTCATTCAGCCTTGTTCTGAAAAAGTATTCAAACCTTTATGTGTAATAGTCTTTCCTGAAAATACTCCTGATTCACCCTGAAGTTAGCCCAGTTTCAAAAGAACACTCCACTGATTTAGCATAGCTCCAACCGCTTGAGGACATGGATCAGACTTCACACAGCTCTCTCTGAACACACTTAAGGCCTTTATGGATCTTTTTTTTTTTTACATATACAGTAGTGCTCCTCAATACCCGTGAACATTTTGATGTGTAAAACTAGTGTAGTTCCCCTTTTAATGGTTACCTTGCTCTACAGTAAGTTGTTGGCTGCAGCTTGTGAGTCAAGTCTGTTTCTGTGTCTCCCTACAGCTCTACAAGCGCTTCAACCTTCCCGGCAAACCTCCTGAGTCAATGGGAAAAGGCCGGGATTGGAACGTGGACCTCATCCCGAAATTCCTCATGGCCAATGGTATGCTTAAATCACTCACCTCACATGCTACTTTAGGGTGTGACTTCTGACCTGTAAGTGCAGAGAGCCTGCAAAGTGTCAACCAAATTTTATTAGTCTTTGAATCGACAGCAAGGGAGTGTCACAGTTGTATTTAACGATGTTAAATAAGTTAAACCATCTTTAAGACGTAACACTTAAACTAATTCTGATGTTTGCATCTGCTTCTCTCAGGTCAGCTGGTCCGCATGCTGCTGATCACACAAGTGACACGCTACCTGGACTTCAAAGTGATTGAGGGCAGCTTTGTGTACAAAGGGGGCAAAATCCATAAAGTCCCCTCTACTGAGACCGAGGCCCTGGCATCTAGTAAGTTATTGTGGGATGCAGCTTGAACCCGCAGAGGAAATGTTTGCTGCATTTGTGTCTTTCTATGGCTCCACTGAAAAGAAATATTTTCCTTTCTTTTTAGTCTAATGTTGTCTGGCCCCGAGCACTCTCAGCTGCTGGTTGCATGTAGTATTGCTGTTGTAAAGCTTTTCACTCGCTCTCGAGTCTGCTCAAAGTCCAAATTCTTGCTCTCCTAAAGGTCTGATGGGGCTGTTTGAGAAACGGCGCTTCAGAAAGTTCCTGATGTTCATCTCCAACTTTGACGAGAATGACCCTAAAACCATGGAGGACGTTGACCCCCAGAAGACAGTAATGAGGGACATATTCAAAAAGTTCAGCCTGGGCCAGGAGGTCATGGACTTCACTGGCCACTCCCTCGCCCTCTATCGCACAGATGAGTCAGTGGTGTTTCTAGTTGTTTGATTAAAAAAATGGAATCCCATGCTACTGTGATACCATGTCCCCCAGCCTTGTTTTAAATGGCCTCCTCCTCTCTCCTCAGTTACCTGGATAAACCTTGCATTGAAACAATAAACAGGATAAAGCTCTACAGCGAGTCTCTGGCCAGATATGGCAAAAGCCCGTACCTCTACCCCCTGTACGGCCTGGGAGAGCTGCCACAAGGGTTTGCCAGGTAGGGGCTATATAATATCACTATTATATCTGTGTGCTGCAGCATACAGTGTACTTATTTTTTAATTTGCCAAGTCAATATTGTTTGAACAAAGACTTTGAACTGCTTGAAGCAACTTCTGAAAATTACATGAAGTTCTTACAACAAAAAGATTCCAGTAATTAATGCTTAACTAAACAAGGAACTACAAGTTCCAGTTTGTGTTCCTCTGCATCATTATTGCTTCTTGTTAATACAGTGTTTTAATGTTAATACTAGAAACACTCTACCTCCTTATCTAGTATTATACCTTTATTTAACCTGATCAATTGAGAACCAACTCTCATTTCACAGAAATAGGCGGCAAGCCGATGCAACAATTAAATACTGACACTGCAAAAAAACAATATTAGACAGAATTAAAATAGCACAATAGTTAGAGTATGTACACAACAGAGATATGTACTGTGTTCCAGATCTTCAGTCTCAAAGTAATCCAGTGATAGTGTATATCCATGGCTGCACTGCAAACAGGAACTACTGGCTAATTCAGCATACTTTGTATCTTTTTTTTAAGCATTATGGAAACTGTAATTCAAAGCTTTAAAGCATGATTCTCCACCAAAGAGATCTCAAAATTCAATGATAACCTTTGCATGATTAGTATATCTTTTGACTTTACACAGAAGGTCCTGTCAACACCTACCCACATACTGAAATGTACTTTTTCTCACAGCAGACACTTTAACTTGTAATAGCAGGTAAAGCACAGGTGTTACTAATAACATTAATGATGGCTCTGTCAAGTGAGTTAAAAATGTCTGCTGCCAAAATGTCCTGGCTCACTGATGCGGCGTACTGGGAATTTAAATCGAACAGAGTTATTGTTATTAGTTATACCTGTGCTTTCCCTGCTAGAGTCTGTCAAACTGTCCCCTGTGATGAAGGTCTGTGCCTGGAAAATGAACCTTGTGAGTGAAAGTGCTGAAAGGATGATTAAAAAAAAAAAAAAAATCCCCTGTTAACCATATCAGCAGCCAACGTGTCGATTCAGTGTTAAATATTTTCTTTAGTTACATTATTAATATTTTATTCCTTGGTACCTGTGTTGTATCTGGGTTAGCGGCTGTGTTGTAGCTAAGCTAAGGGCTCACAGAGGATAACTCTTTGTTAGACACGTCTGTGTGTGTGTCTGTGGCAGGACTGTTAGTGTGTTATCAAGATAAACATTGTTGTCCGGTGCTACTAAAGCACAAGTCCGAACCACTGCGCCAAAATAGAAAATTACTAAGTAGATGCGTAGAATGCATCTCGATCAGTATACATTGGAAAATGAGCACAGTGGTTTCAGCAGACTCTTACTCAAAGTGGAGGCTGAGGGAAGTGCGCAGTCCCTCCTCTGATTAGAGGGCGTTTTGTTTTTTCGCCCCAAACTGTCGACTATCTCAGCATTGGATTTACAAGGTTCAGGGTGATATAAAACAATAGAGCCGTGACCCTTTTTTAACCCATGAAGTTTCATAAATGTGGTAATAATGTCAATTGTCACACCAGCATTATTGTTTCATCATAGTACAGTCATATAATTTAGTTTACAGCTCCAGAAAAACGTTCTAGGGTGGAGTACCGCTTTAATAGGAAGTAATATCTCACATTGTGGTTCTTTTCCAGGCTGAGTGCCATCTATGGTGGGACGTATATGTTGAACAAGCCCATAGAGGAGATCGTGGTGGAGAATGGGAAGGTGGTGGGGGTCAAGTCTGAGGGAGAGGTGAGCATTTTGTTTTCAATTGTGTTGGACTCCTATGTTAAACATCTGTTGTTTGAGTGGCCTGTAAAGCCAATGGAGACATTGTATGTGATTGGACTATACAAAAACAGGACGACCTTTGACTTAAAGGCAGATGTACTGACATGGAACTGTCAATACAAACCCATTAATCTCATTTCCTGGTTTGGTCCTACACATATTTGGCCTAATGATGAAAAAACATTTTTTTCACAGTTGCCCATTATTATATTTTCATTTGACCTCTGACCTTTGGCTGTGTTTGCCCACCACAGATCGCCAGGTGCAAGCAGCTGATCTGTGATCCCAGCTACGCTATGGATCGTGCCACCAAAGTGGGTCAGGTGATCAGAGTCATCTGCATCTTGAGTCACCCCATCGCCAACACCGGTGACATCAACTCTTGCCAGATCATCATCCCCCAGAATCAGGTCAACAGGAAGCATGGTGAGCGCACACAGGAAGTGAACAGAAGACTTAGACTTTGTAGTATTTCAGTTCTTTATTATATTAAATACATTTTGAAGCACGAAAAGATAGTGTTCTTATGTGAGCTCAATGTAGATGTCAGATGAGAACAATTGCAAAGGCAAGTTAAGAATTGACTTAATACCTTTTATCTTAATGTTGTGTCCAAAAGAAGTACAACAACCTCTGCATAATGTTTTAATTCCCTTAATTTTTAACTTCAGGTGCAGAAAAGTGTTTCTAATCATTTTGTTTTTATCTGTTTTTTTATGTGTTTAGCATGAAGGACTGAAAACTTTTATTTTGTTATACAACCCTGTGTTACATAATGATAAATACATGTCCTTGGTTTGTTTGAAATATATGTGAAATCCTGTCACACCTCTGCTTTAAACAAGCAATGACAATTCATAGACTGCAAGCTGAACCAGATTAAATGTACCTATTAACAACCAAATAGACAAATAACATTACATGATGTTTTAACTTGTTACAGTCAGACATTAATTTAAGTATTTCTATTTCCAGACATCTACGTTTGTATGATGTCCTTTGCTCACAACGTGGCAGCACAGGGAAAATACGTCGCCATCGCCAGCACCACGGTGGAGACAAACGACCCTGAGAAAGAGGTCAAACCGGCCCTAGACCTACTGGAGCCCATCGAGCAGAAGTTTGTCAGCATTAGTGACCAGTATGCACCCACTGACATGGGCACTGACAGCCAGGTAAATCAGTGGGATATGGTGGAACATAAAGAACCATACTGCATGTTTTAACCCGTTGACAACAAATCCAGTGTTCTTTTTTTCTACTGTTTGAGCAACCATTTGTTGTTTCCATTCACTTCAGTTTGTGGGAATGTAGCAGACTTGTTTGAGATGAGTATTGTATTTAAGAAGAAGAAGAAGATATACTTTATTGATCCCCTAGGGGGAAATAGTTTTTTTCATACATACACAGGCTGAAATGCACACTTCATGCACATGTGGAAAGGGGAGAGATGGTGGAGTGATGGGGCTGCCGCGTTTTCTCTGCAGTGCACAGGAGGTGAAACTGGCACCCCTCAAGCTACCAGTCCACACTCCACATTTTGTGGTCTGTGGGACTTGAACCGACGACCCTCCGGTTCCCAAGCAAAGTCCCTACACACTGAGCTACTGCCGCCCCCTATAAGCAAGCAAGCAAGCAAGCAAGCAAGCAAGCAAGCAAACAAACAAACAAACAAACAAACAAACAAACAAACAAACAAACAAACAAACAAACCAATCAATCAATCCGGTTCCTGCATGCCTCTCATGCTCTGTTTAAAAACAAAACAAAAAATAAACCCACAACACCTCAGCTCACCCAGGTGCATTGTGGTCGTATGCTTGCCTTCCTACATATAAAGTCAGGTGCCCAGTGTTAGGACCACAGCAGCCTTGAGTATTTCAGAATACAAAAACTAACCCCGAGTCCAGTGTTGTCATCTCATTCACTATCTTTATATGTATAACTGACTAATGGTTTGGAGCTTTAATTTAGCCCTGCATGTTGCTGTTATGTACAGTCCTGCTCACCATTATTGGCACCCCTTCATTTTTTGCATAACCTCTACAATATCTTCAGAAATAAATAGTAATGTACCAAATTTATATCATCAGGATCTTTTAAGGAGGTCCAATGTAATTTAACAAAGAAAATTGTTTTTTCAACTTACATATTGTAATTTCCAAGAGGAAACAGAAGAAACAGCATGTGCAGCAATAATGGCACCCCTCTTTAATATTTGGTTGCACACCCGTTGGCAGTGATGACAGCCCCAAAATGTTTCTTGTAGCCATCTATAAGCTTCTTGCACTTCTCAGCTGGTATTTTCTCCCACTCTTTCTTTGCAAATTGTTCAAGCTCTTGAACGTTTGCAGGTTTCTTTTCCCCAATGGCAGATTTCAGCTAGGATGGCGATTCAGGGCTCGGATTACCAAAGATTTTCAATCAGATTGAGATCAGGACTTCATGCTGTCCATTTCTAAAACAGTCCTTTTTCCTTTTCAAACCATCCTGCGTGCATGATTTGCGATGTGTGCTTGGGTCTTTGTCTTGCTGGGACGAACCCGTGACTGACTCAGACCAATTTTTTGACACTGGTAGGACATTTCGCCCTCTAAAATCTCATTGATGACGGTCTAAGGCCCTCCAGCTACCAGATGCAGCAAAGCCAGCGCCCGACAGCATCTATGCATCCTCCACCATGCTTAACTGGTTGGTTTAGGTCCGTTCTTTGTCTTGTAGCCTTCATTGCGCCTTCTGTAAACAAACTGCATTTCCAAAAAGCTCTATTTTTTGTTTCACTCTGTCCGCCAGAACATTTTCCAGAAGGATTGTCGTTTGTTCC